AATGGCAACCTTCAGTCCCCGGGCTCAGTTTCCAATGTGTAAGACAGGCTGGGAGTCAGAACAGACACTTTGCCCGGGTGTGGCGCAGAGAAAGAGCGAGACCTCAGGGCAACCTGGTTAGTTTCCCCCTCCAGGCATGCGGGTTAGTGTCAGAGATCCTGGGTAAGCTCAGTGACCGTGCATTAACAGCATCGCCAATGCCAAGCAATCAATAAAAGCCCCAAACCGTGAGCCAGGCTGCTGAAAAGTCATGAGATTGGTTTAAAAATCATGAGATTTTTAAAAAAAATCCATTTTGGGGTTCGTTTTGTTTGACTCTGGTTTGGGAGCTGTTGGTCACCCCACCGTAACGTTTGGCAGTTTTTCCTCTGCCATGTGGGCCAGGCCCTAATTTTGATTTTAGCCAAAAGCAGAATCACGTGACTCTGGGAGGTGGGGCTAAAGGAAACGCCACGCGTTAGCAACACTGCAGAAAAGCCAGAAACATCATGCCTTTGCCACGACAGTTTCCAGCTCCCATTGTACCTGTGCAGATCTTAGACGTATCCTTATGACTCTTCCCAAATCCCCAACTGCATCTACACATGTAACTCCCTGGCATGTTGATGCAGGTCCCGTGGGGCTCACAGATTGTGGTGTTTCGCTGGCACTCGTCAATGTCTACAAGGAGAGAGAAAGTGCTAGGTCAGGCTGATCTAGGAGCTGTACCTTGGGCACTGGGGTGAGGATGCTGGGGGATAATCCAGGTGTCCGACATGCACCGTGCTCTGGGGAACGGGGCTGGTTAGAGCCAGGAGTTCAGTGACTGGGTCAGCGAACGGGAGCAAGGTGGCTATTGTCTGGAATGAGCCGCTCCAGCTGGGAAGGGAAAAGCAGCCCTGCCAGACACGCACACTGTGCTGTATGTGGACCATCCATGAGCTTCCCAGGCTCAGGGGCACTAGCAGGTTGGATTCTGTGTGTTGGGGACAGCGAGGGCCCCACCCGTCTCCCCGGCGCCTCCCTGCAAACCTAGGGGTTTATTCATAATTCAATCACTGAGGCAGGGGAGATCCTGGCCCCACACGCTGGGGCAGCAGTTCAGGGTCATGGCTGATCACAGGCCTGGTGAGTGGATCCGGTGCCTTTGCTGCAGCCGGCAGCAGCCCCGGTGCAGTGCCAGGCCTGGAATGAGCCCTGGGGTGTGTGTATGGGGGGCGGGGAGGACTGAGCAGGGTGCGGTGGGGGACAGGGAAGAGCTCACCCTGGCAGGTGTTGTCACTCGCGTGCGTGAACTTGGCTTTCCCAGAGCTGGGCTCGTAGCCATCGATGCAGGTGCAGGAGTAATTCCCAGGCACATTGGTGCAGTTTGCGTGGGGTCCACAGTCTGCCGGGCTCAGGCCCTGACACTCGTCAATATCTGCAACACAAGAGGGGATGCTCTGTACAGTCCTGGCAGGGAGACGTTCCTGTATCACACATCTGTACTGAGCTGGGTGATGGGACCCAGGTGACCAGGCCCATGGGAGCTTAACAATCACAGGCCTGATTCTCAGCTACACTTAGGCCACATTTGGCTGCTCTGGCAGCGGAACGGCCACTCGAGAATATGGTGTATTGAAAACTGTGTTAGCATCAGAAGCTCTCACTTTACTTCTGCAAGGGGCTTTCCTGGACCTGCTTGCGGAGTAGGGGGCTCGGGTGACAAGCATGGGATCTGGGTTTTCAGCCGTGTGTCTGCCGAAGAGCCGAGCCTAGAGCCAAGTGGGGTTAGTTGTGCCCGTCTGCATTGAGGAACAGCCTGCTTTGTCTCTCTCTGTTCGGGGTCCTCGTGTGCTGGGGTTCTGGAGTCTAAGAAATAACCCTGTGTTGAGCTGCAGCCTGCCAGCGAGAGGATGTTTCTAACTGTGTGTGTGTGTGTGTCACATCACAGTGTGCCGTGAACATAACAGAGGGAAGGGGACTTTCTGACCCCAGAACAGCCACTGTGGCCTCTATGGGCCAAGCCCCAATGGGGCCAAGATTTGGGAAGATGTAGGAGTCCATGTATGATGCTGAGTTGCCCAAGAGGTGGAACACTGGGACTTGGCAGAAATCCCCCTCAGGTTCCAATCACAGAGGAACACACAGGCATTGCCAGCCTGGGTCAGCCCCAGGGCCCATCTACCCCGGTATCCCGTCTGCGACAGGTGCTACAGAGGAAGGTGTAAGAGTCCCGCAGCGGGAGCCGGGGGATAATCTGCCCCCGTGAAGGTCTCCTCCTGGTCTCTAATAGTCGGAGTTCGGCTGAAGCCCTGAAGTGGGAGCTTTTCCCTCCCTCCCAGAATTATTGTCCATTAACTAGCACAGCTCCAGGCATTGTCGCTCCCCATAGAAACAGCCAGTCCCTCTTTAAAACTCGAGACGTTCACAGCCTCCAGGCCGCGGTAGCAGTGAGTTCCAGAGGCTACTGCTGCCCCGGGTGGAGGAGTATTTCCTTTTATCTGCTTTGAAGTTGCCCCCATTTCAGTTCAATTCAATCCACACTCTGCCCCTTGCTTATTGGTCTTTCTAAAGCTCGTGATTTTCTAAGCGAATCTGATTTTTTTTTAGTGCCTGGGATTGTCGTCAGGAGCTCAGCCATGCACTTGAGACCCACTGGAGCCGCGTTAAGTGCATAGCTGGGCAGGGCTGGAGCCAAGCATGTGCATTGCTGACTCGGGGGGCTCAGGGAGCACAGACAGGGACCAGCACAAAGCGATTTAGCAGCTGGTATTGCCGGCATTGCTAAAACCCAGTGACTGTGTAACCACATCCCAGCACAAGATTCCCCTGCCTGGCGCACGATAAGATGGTTTGACGGATGGGGAATGTTTTGTCTGAAGCATCAAGAGAAAGGCACAAGGGTGGGGTAACAAGCATGTTGTGAAACACACAAGCTGGGATGTAGGTTGTTTATCCCGGATGGTTTGTCTCAGTCTGTAAATGTCGGGGTCCATTGTCAGAGGCAGACGTGTGGCCGCATCCCTGTGGCATCTCTGGGCGCTGGCACCGGGCTGCATTGGCGATAAACCTGGCCGAGCACCTTTGCCACTGATCCAATGCTGTGGGGTGTCTGGGCACTTCAATGGAGGTCTGCCGGGCTGGGGTGACCAGACAGGAACAGCTCCTGTGGAATCGCTCCCCATCCGGACACTCTGGTCTGGAATAATCAGTGCGCTTCCAAAGAGAACAGTGATCGCCATCAATTCCCCCGGGGGCAAGCCCTAGGGATTCTCCACACGGCTCCCGATACCAGCTATCCCCGGACAATCCCCGGGACGCTGGCTGAGATACCTGCGGTGCTGATTTCTTCTTGTGCCTAGACCTGCCCCAGGACACTGGCTGGGGTTATCCCACGCGGCCGGGGGCTGGGCGCAGGAACGGCTGGGCGAGGTCTCTGCCAGGGGAAGCGTTTGAACCAATGGGTTCCTGAGTTCTCCCAGTTCGATGGGCCCGGTGCTCTGCGCCCCCCAAACGAGGGTGTAAAGGGCGGTTTCCATGGGAACGGCCGGCTAGGACTTGATACAAGCTCTAATTACTGGCTGAACATTGCAGACAAGGGCCTGGAACGCCCTGACCCCTTCTCCGGTCAGGCCGCCCCAGCTGCCTAAGGGGGCATAATGGCCCCCTGGGGAAACACCCTCCCATCCAGGGGGCTCTGTCAGTGTGGGGTTGGAAAAGGTTCTGCTCCCAGCCCTGAGGGAGGGGGCAGATTGGGGGCGTGGCCGGGGTGCCCTGCGCTGGGGCTATTCCCTGCTCCCCAGGGCCCATAGGGGGCAGAGCGCACTGTGCTGTATGTGGACCATCCACGAGGCCCCTTCCCAGGCTCAGGGGCACTAGCAGCCTGGATTCTGTGTGCTGGGGACAGCGAGGGCCCCACCCGTCTCCCCGGCGCCTCCCTGCAAACGTAGGGGTTTATTCCCAATACAAACACCGAAGCAGGGGAGATCCTGGCCCCCACGCGCTGGGGCAGCAGTTCAGGGTCACGGGTGATCACAGCCCCAGTGAGTGGATCTGGTGCCTTTGCTCCAGCCGGCAGCCTCTGGTGCAGCACCAGGCCTGGAATGAGCCCAGGGGTGTGTGTATGCAGGACGGGGGGGACTGAGCAGGGTGTGGTGGGGGCCAGAGGAGAGCTCACCCCGGCAGGTGTTGTCACTCGCGTGTGTGAAGTTGGCTTTCCCAGAGCTGGACTCGTAGCCATCGATGCAGCTGCAGGAGTAACTCCCAGACACATTGGTGCAGTTTGCGTGGGGTCCACAGTCTGCCGGGCTCGGGCCCTGACACTCGTCAATATCTGCAACACAAGAGGGGATGTTCTGTACAGTCCTGGCAGGGAGACGTTCCTGTATCACCCACCTGCACTGAGCTGGGTGACGGGACCCAGGTGACCGGGCCCCTGGGAGCTTAACAATCACAGGCCTGATTCCCAGCTACGCTCAGGCAGCACTAGGCTGCTCTGGCAGCGGAACGGCCACTCGAGAATCCCCCACCCTGCAAAAGGGGCCACCCCAGCTGGTGGGGAGCTGCTGTCGGGGTCCTGCCCCCACCCTGCTCCTAGCCCCTGATGTAGGGGCTGACGCTGGGGTTCCCGGCACTGCAGCTATTTCCTGTCCCCCAGGGCCCATGGGGGAGGATCGGGGTGTGGCTGGGACACACTGTGCTGTGGCTATTCTCTCCTCCCCAGGGCCCATAGGGGGCAGAGCGCACTGTGCTATTTCCATGGCCCAGACACGAGGCCCCTGCCCAGGCTCAGGGGGACACTAGCAGCCCAGATGCTGCGTGTGGGGCCAGCGACTGTCCCCTCCCCTCTCCCCAGCACATCTCTGCAGCACAAGGAGTTTGCTCTGTGGGTCTATTTATTCCCCATCCATGCGCCGGGCACAGGGTGAGCCCGGCCCCATGCTCTGCGGGACCAGGCGAGGGCAGAGCCTATCAGAGGGGGGGCCAGGAGGCCATTTGGCCTGGGCCACAAAGGGAGCCTCAAATTTAAACACTTGTTAATTTTTTGGCATTTGATAAGTTTTGCAACTTGTTTTTCTGCACGTCCCCATCGGACCAAAATGTGACCCACGCGCTCAGCTTAGAGCTGCAAATTTAAGCAAATTAGAGATGTGATTTGGAAAGACATCATTTTTTGGTTAACTGATACAGCTGTTGTCATATTAAAGAGTTAAAAATGTTCATAAACCTTGCATATTTTTGTCAGTTTGCCTTCATCAGTGGCTTCAGGGGAATCCACCTTCAACGTGTTGAAGCAGGTAAAGGACTATCACCGTGCAACTATGGGCCAGGAGCGTTTGAATGGGCTCGCCATGCTTAATGTCAACTGTGACATTGCACGAAAGCTAGACTTTTCCTCAGTAATTAGTACATTTGCACAGGAAAAAGGCTAGAAAAGCATTTGTTAAATAAAAAATTTTTTTGGTGCCTTATTTTGTTTTCATGTGTCGTCATTTTGTATGTTTATTATGCGTAGGAGCCTCAAAAGCTGGAAGTGGCCTGCGCCTCTCTGGACCTCTGAGAGGGCCTGGGTGAGGGTCATGTCTCATCAGAGCCTCACTGATGGCCTCAGGCCACTGCCAAAGCCGGCAGCAGCCCAGGTGCGGCCCCTCGCTGGGAATGGGCACGTGGGGTGGGGGTCTCAGCAAGTGGGGGCCAGGGGAGAACTCACCCCGGCAGGTGCTCTCACTCGCGTGTGTGAAGTTGGCTTTCTCAGAGCTGGCCTCGTAGCCATCGATGCAGCTGCAGGAGTAATTTCCAGGCACATTGGTGCAGTTTGCGTGGGGTCCGCAGTCTGCCAGGCTCGGATCCTGACACTCGTCAATATCTGCAACACAAGAGGGGATGTTCTGTACAGTCCTGGCAGGGAGACGTTCCTGTATCACCCACCTGTACTGAGCTGGGTGTTGGGACCCAGGTGACCAGGCCCTTGGGAGCTTAACAATCACAGGCCTGATTCTCAGCGATGCTCAGTCCACACTTGGCTGCTCCGGCAGCGGAACGGCCACTCGAGAATATGGTGTATTGAAAACTGTGTTAGCATCACAAGCTCTCACTTTACTTTTGCAAGGTTTCCTGCACCTTCTTGTGGGCTAGGGGGCTTGGGTGACAAGCATGTGATCTAGGGTTTCAGCAGTGTGTCTGTCAAAGGGCCAGCCTAGAGCAAAGTGGGGTTAGTTGTGCCCGTCTGCATTCAGGAGCAGCCTGCTTTGTCTCTCTCTGTTTGGGATCCTCGTGCGCTGGGGTTCTGGATTCTAGGAATAACCCTGTGTTGAGCTGCAGCCTGCCAGCGAGAGAATGTAACGCTTTGTGTCTAACTGTGTGTGTGTGCCGTGAACATAACAGAGGGAAGGGGACCTTCCGACCCCTGAATAGCCACTGTGGCCTCTATGGGCCAAGCCCCAGTGGGGCCAAGATTTGGGGAGATTTAGGAGTCCATGTGTGAAGCTGAGTTGCCCAAGGGGTGGGAATACTGGGACTTGGCAGAAATCCCCCTCAGGTTCCAATCACAGGGGAACACACAGGCATTGCCAGCCTGGGTCAGCCCCAAGGCCCATCTACCCCAGTATCCCGTCTGTGACGGGTGCTACAGAGGAAGGTGTAAGAGTCCTGCAGCAGCAGCCAGGGGATAATCTGCCCCCAGAAAGTCTCCTCCTGGTCTCTAATAGTTGGAGGTCGGCTTAAGCCAGGGGTCTCAAACTCAATTTACCTTAGGGCCAGTGCCAGTCCTCAAATCCTCCCAGCGGGCCAATGTCACTCATGCTGCCCAGAACCCACCCCCCATAAACTCTGCCCCCCAAAAAACTCTGCTCCCCACCTGTCTAAGGCTGTGGGGTGGAGTTTGAGTGGGGGAGGAGGTCTGGGATAGGGGATTGGGTGCAGGCTCTGGGATGGAGTTTTGGGGCTGGGGGGATGTGGGGATGGGGTGCAGGCTCTGAGAGGGTGTTTGGGGGTGGGAGGGATTGTGTGGGAAGGGGGTGCAGGCTCTGGGAGGGAGTTTGGGGGCAGGAGGGGATATGTGGGGTGGGGATGGGGGTGCAGGCTCTGGGAGGAGGTCGGGGGTGCGGCGCTTACGTGAGGCTCCAAGGCGGGGCAGGCCGGGGGGGCATCCGCACGTTTCTACCCCCAGGCACCGCCCCATCAGCGAGGGCCGGCTCCAGGTTTTCTGCCAACCCAAGCGGAAAAAAATAAAAGCCGCGGCAGTGTGATCGCGCCGCTCCCTCTTCAGCGGCAATTCAGCGGCTGGTCCTTCACTCCGAGAGGGACTGAGGGACCCGCCACCAAATTGCCGCTGAAGACCCAGACGTGCCGCCCCAATAGTGGCCGGAGTGCCGCCCCTTAGTATTGGCCGCCCCAAGCACCTGCTTCTTTAGCTAGTTCCTGGAGCCGGCCCTGCCTGCAGCATCCCATTGGCCTCAGGGGCGCTCGGGGCAGGGGCAACAAGCGGAGGCACAGCCCCACACCGTCCCTGGACCGCAGGAAGGGGCCGGCAGCCACTGGAGAGAGCAGGCAGACGCCGCTCAGCTCCGCTGCGCTGCTGGGGCCCCTGAGGGGGGAGCGCCTGGGGGTGGCAGGTGGGGCCAAGGGAGAGACTCGGCCCCAAAACTGCTGGAGCTCCACGGGCCACATTGGGGATGTTCTGTGGCCCACGGGCCAGGAGCTTGAGACCCCTGGCTTAAGCCCTGAAGTGGGAGTTTTTCCCTCCCTCCCAGAATTATTGTCCATTAACTAGCACAGCTCCAGGCATTGTTGCTCCCCATAGAAACAGCCAGTCCCTCTTTAAAACTGACACATTCACAGCCTCCAGGCCGCGGTAGCAGTGAGTTCCAGAGGCTACTGCTGCCCCGGGTGGAGGAGTATTTCCTTCTATCTGCTTTGAATTTGCCCCTTTCCAATTCCATTCAATCCACACTCTGCCCCTGGCTCATTGGTCTTTCTAAAGCTCGTGATTTTCTAAGCGAATCTGATTTTTTTTAGTGCCTGGGATTGTCGTCAGGAGCTCAGCCATGCACTTGAGACCCACTGGAGCCGAGTTAAGTGAGTAGCAGGGCAGGGCTGGAGCCAAGCATGTGCTTTGCTGACTCGAGGAGCTCAGGGAGCACAGACAGGGACCAGCACAAAGCGATTTAGCAGCTGGCAGCTTCCAGCGTCCCCTGGTGGAGACACCAGCATGTGGGTATCCCCTGCCAGGGGACCGGCATTGGTGCATGCGCCAGCTTCACCAGCGCAAAGGGGTCTCCAAATCCACTGCACTGCGACCCCAGAGAGACCTCTCGGTCTGTGTCCTGGGCAAACTCCCTGCCCTGGGGAGTGACACGGAGCTGACCAACCCGTGTGTCCCCCACCATGTCGCTGGAAGCCAGGGTGTCTCAGGGAAGCCTGGGGCTGGGCTGGCAATGCCAGTCACAGCACATGCCCCCTCACAGTGCTGCTCACGCAGGTAACTTGGGGCAGTGGGAGGGTCCCTCGAAGTAGCAGCTGCACCCCCTAGAGGCCAGAGGAGAGCATGGCTGCCCGCCCCCAGCAGAAGCTCAAGTAATAAGGGACCAGGGGCGAAGTCAAGAACGCTTTAGCCTAATTGCCAGAGCTCTTCCTGGGGCCATTTCCCAAGCTTCGCGGGGCACTAGCAGCTCAGATGCTGCGTGCTGGGGCCAGTGAGGGTCCCCTCCCCTCTCCCCAGCACATCTCTGCAGCACAAGGAGTTTGCTCCGTGGGTCTGTTTCTAACCCCAGGGTTTATTTGCTGTCCAAGCGCCGGGCACAGGGGTGAGCCCGGCCCCATGCTCTGCAGGAGCAGGCGAGGGTCACGTCTCAACACAGCCTCACTGATGGCCTCCAGCCACTTCCAAAGCCGGCAGTAGCCCCGGTGCGGCCCCTTGCTGGGAATGGGCACGTGGGGTGGGGGTCTCAGCATGTGGGGGTTAGGGGAGAGCTCACCCTGGCAGGTGTTCTCACTCGCGTGCGTGAAGTTGGCTTCCCCAGAGCTGGGCTTGTAGCCATTGATGCAGGTGCAGTGGTAACTCCCAGCCACGTTGTTGCAGTTTGCGTTGCATCCGCAGTCTGCTGGGCTCGACCCCAAACACTCGTTAATATCTGTAATGCAAGAGGGGACGCTCTGTACAGTCCTGGCAGGAAGACGTTCCCGTATCACCGCCCTCAGCTCCCTGTGCTGAGCTGGGTGACGGGACCCAGGCATCCGGGCCCTGAGCAGTTAGTGATTAAGGGCCTGATTCTCAGTTACCCATTTCGGCTGCTGCAATCTCAGAAACAGCCCCCCGAGCCTCCTGTCCCAGGTACGGGGGGTTCAGCCCCACAAACACCCAGATCCCCCATGTGAGGGGAGGGTGGGGAGACTCCCTCTGGGGCTCCAGGCTCCCAGTGTGTTGTGGGGGGACAATGTGCCTCTCCTCCGCCCCCTCCCTTCTTGGATCCCTGTGTGGCAGGGGAGGGGTAGTATAGCCAGGGCTGCCCCATTCTGCTCCCGTGGGGCCCCTCTGGCCCAGGACACCCAGGGGCTGATTAGGGCCCAGGCTGGGATTCAGACGGGTCAGTGTTATGGGCCCCCCCACCCTGTGCCCAATCCACAGAGCCCAACGCTCCTGGCTCCTGCCGCTCACTCTGGAGGCCCCGGTTCGATCCCCAGGAGGGCGGCGCTCACCCGTGCTGCTGACCCCCCATTCCCCAGCCGGGCTGAGCCCCCCCAACAGGCCCTGGAGTCAGTGGAGTTGGCTGCTCTGGCCCTTAATGCCCTGCTCTGTCCCAGCCCCCCCAGGACAATGTGGGACCCCCGTTACCGTCACAGGTCTCTGTTGTGTCATTGAAGAAGCGATTCTCATGTGACTGGTATCCATCCAGGCAGGTGCAGTGGGTGTTGTTCACACACTTGGCGTTTGCTGGGCACAGCACATGGCTGTTGCAGTCCTCAGTGGCACCTGTAGGGGCGGGAATAGCTGGGCAGGGTCAGCCAGTGCAGAGCAGCTCCCTCCCCCTCCCCCCCACCCCACACAGTGCGATCGACTCCTTTCACATGCCCCATTCGCTGATTTTCGTCCCTGGGCGCCTGGCAAACAGCTCTGACGCCATCCACCGCCTGGCAACAAGCTGCCCTCAGCTGCACACGAGGCCTTGGCTCCCCGGGGAGCCCCCGGCACAGACAGGCAGAGCCACCGGAGCCGGGCGTCGCTTCAAGTGAAACATTTTCGATCTCACCCAATTTTTCTCCTTTTTGTTGCTTTCGTTGTTACTCTCTTTAGCGTCAATTTCAAACCGAAACCTCACTTCCAACTGGAAAATGGGAATTTTTCATTTTGAAAATTATTTCATCTTCCCCCCGACACACAATTTTTTCCCGAGTAAAACCAAACATTCCTCTGAACCGAATCGACATTTCTGACAAAAAATGGGTCCTTGGGAAATTCCTGCCCGACTCTGCTCTGGATTGACTGAGAGCGGAGTCGGGCGCGAGGCTAGTTTGCATCCTGAGCTGCCTCCCATGACCCAGATTGTGACCTGCCTATGGGGGCTCCTGGACCCTTTAGCTGCCCGGTGTCTGGGGCTCCTCTGGGATCCGTCCCTCTGGCCAGCGTGAGGGGAAGGATCCCAGCACAGCTTAGCCAGCTGCAGGGCTTGGGATGGGAGCAGACGGAGCAGGGTGGGAGCAGCACTGAGGGACCCCAGTGGGTCAATGGGAATTTGCCCAAATCCCATCTTGGGATTCGCAGCAGAGCTGGGCTCGGGGCGCAGAGTCCGGATCCCAAACACCCCCAGCTGGGCACGTGGGTCCCGGGTTTCAGTTCAGCCCGATTTTAGAGGCGGGGGGCACCTAGAAATGCCACTTCTTACATCTGAGCCATCAAGGGCTTTGATTTGGGCTGGTCAATAACAGGGCCCTTGGCTACAAAGGGGATCTGCCCCTCATTCCAGCCCCCAGTGTAGAGCCCTGGGCCCCAGTGTCTATTCTCTGCTGGCCACGGGGCAGGGAAGGGAAGGGGAGGGCTACACAGGGGCCTTCTCCTTTCCCCTGCACGCACCCATCCTGCTCTATAAACCCACCCCAAGACGCCCACGCCAAGGGCTGCTCCCGGCTCGCCAGACCCCTGACTCTGCTCTCCTCCCACAAGGGAAAGAGACTGGAGGGGGCGGAGGCCGGAGACCCCGGACAGCCGGGAGCGCTGGGGAAGATCAGTCAGGAGGAGTCAACCTTACCTTGTAGGTCATGATTCTGGGCCATGGTGCCCCCCAGGCACAGGGCGATGCAGAGCCCTGGAAGGCAGAGACAGGGTAAGGCACCATGGGCAGATGGTAACTGCCACTCAGCTGCACACACCCCCAGCCGCCCCCGTCCTGACAATCCTGGGCCAATGGCCAGTCAGTGACCTGCTGATGGTGGAATTAAAATGCAGACACGTGGTGCTTTGGGAAATCAGCCCCATCTGGGATCCCTGTTAATATTTTTAACTGATTCTAATTGGGAACTGGACTTTTGGCCAGAGCAACTGGGTCTTTATTGTGTGTATTAGTAACAAAGACCAGGAGCCCCCATTGTTAGGGCTGGATTTATACTTAGGGCACCCTAGCCACAGGGGCTCGGCGGTCGTTCCCCCCAGACTTGGAGCTCCAGGGCCCCCCGCCATCTGGAGGTGGCCGGGAGCTGCAGGGTACCCCTGCTGCCCGGAAGTTCTTAACTGCCACTTTTATCTTTTAGGTGCCCTGCCGCCAACTGCCCAGCGCCCCCCACCCCCTCCGCCCAGAG